CCCCCGCACTCACCCCCACAGAAGTCTCATCCTGCCCTCCCCACACCCTCCACCCTTGCCTACAGGCAGCAGGATCAAAGCCACCAGGGACATAGCCACTGTTCTCTCACTTCTTGGAAAAACAGAACCCCTAAGCACAGAAACCAGCAGAGCTGGAGAGCTGTGGGGATGGGGCCCACCAGAGCCGGGGCTCTGGCCTCTGTCCAGGCTCGGTGTCACCTCTGTCCAGCCACAGAGAGTATCCCCATCAGTGGCCCCCCACCCACAGAGCTCTTGGCCAGGCCTGCTCCCTTTTTACTGGGACACCTTCCATTCTGAGATTTCCTAAGTCACTCTGAAGAGAGAGAAGCCAACCCAAGCATGTGCAGGATCAGTGTAACAGATCTGGGATCAGTAGCTGGATCAATTCAGTGTCTGTTCCTATATAACTTACTTGGGCCATGACTGCGCGACTAGACTGGGGAACCGGCGAAAATGAGGCTGGATATGGGAGGAAGGGGGCAGACTACAACGCGTCCTTGGAGAGAGACATTAAAGGCGGGGTCATGCTATTTGTCAGAGTATATGTCGCCAGGGTAACCAAGGGCATGGGAGAAAAATGGGATTTTGGTTTACTCACTACAGGGTGCTGCGTTGAGGTCATCTGGTTAAATAAATATCCTTTTTTAAGGACAGCTTTGCCATGTGTGCCATCCCAGCCACCACTTAGAATCAGCAAACCCGAGCATCTGGACAGAGCTTCAGGGGCCCTGTGCCCCAGCTCCCCACCGGGCTAGGAAAGACGAACCCTGCATCGGTGAGGACTGCTTTCTGGAGCTGGGATAGAAGCCGGGTGCTGCTGCGTATCCTTCAGCACCATGAGGTGTTTTTGTCTCTGGCTGTTTACACAAAACAAGACTTTGGAACAGCCCGAGTTTGCTAACACTAACTTGAAGAGTGTGGGAGGGAGCTGGAACTCGGGCTAAGCCGAATGTGTTGTCAGCTCCAAGGAAAGACTCTGAAAGACCCTGGAGGACTCCAGGCCCAGTGCGACACTGCACTCACAGGTGACACTCGGTAGCTCATTCCTGCTAGATGCCACAGTGGCCTTGGCTCCTTCTGCAACCGAAATGTGTGATGCGGTAGGGGTGTCTCAAGGGTGTCTCGATACAGTAAGCGAGTTTGATGTTTTCTCTTCTTTACAATTTTCACATGAATTCCCGGGGACGAGCACAGGAGAGCCCCTGGTCTCTGAGCTGCTGAGAGGCATAAGATCACACAGAGCCAGCTATCTCAGGGCAGACACAAACTGGGAAGAACTGGGCTGGGCGCTCTGAATTATCACCATGTAGTTGTCGGTGAGGTCATTGAGACACTGACTGATGGCTTCCTTGCACGGCAGAGAGATTCACGAAACAATAACTAGCACATCACATTAGTTCCCATTCAGAGCTAGCCAAGGTCAAATAATCTGGGGCTCCCAGAATTGCAGCACTGAATCTGAGCATTGGCATCTGGAAAGCACTCAGAAGCCCCTTCTGGCAACTGCAAATACTGCTCCTTGACCTGAAGCCAACAGTAATTGCTAGTGATTTCTTTTTTTCTCTTTCTCAACCGCGTTGTCTATGTATTGTATGGCAATGCTCCAAATGATATAAATAGTGTGTCAATATCGATATAACTACCTTCCAACATTCTACTAAAAGCATCTACACTCTCTTACTTTAAGAAAATTTAATACTGCACGGCTATGTAAATAGAAGTATATGGGCCATTATTACCAAAACAATAAAACAGTTGAATGAAATTTGTATCAATGAATCTATAACAGATGATCTTTACTCCAGTAGAACTACTTACACGTATGTGTTTTGGCAAAGGTCTCAGGATGGTTAGGAAAATGCCTTTTCACAGAAATTTGGGTGACGGAGGCCCAGGTTATGTGTTCCAGGAAAACTGTCTCCCTCTGGGATCCCTAAATTATTTCACAAGTCCACTTTTGCAACCCTTTCTCCTCTCTATCACTTCATTTTGGTTTCAGATTAGGGTGTGGAGGGTTAATGGAGGTTTAATTTAAAGGGTTAGCATGGGGATTAGACCCAAGCCAGCTGGAGAGCACACGGCAGTGAACTTGGAATTCTAGACCTTGGCTCTCAAACATACTGGCTCCAGCACTAGAAAACAATCCTGGCTGGCCACTGAACCTCTCTGGGCTTCTGTTCTGTCATCCAGAAACTGTGGGGGGTTGGGGGGACGGATAGCTCTTCTAGCATGGGCCTGCTGGGTAACATAGATGGGTCGTACTTCCCAGAGATTCTGACCTAGGAGGCCTCAGGTAGGGTCTGGGTCTCTATTTTGGGAAGCAGTGGATTGGTGACCTCCAGGCCTTCTTCTAGCTCAGTCTAGGAGTCTGTCTCTTCCTACCTGAACCCTGGAATCATCTTGGCAAAGCCGACGACCTTTTGGATGCTGTAACTGACCAGGTCAGCCAGGTGGGGCAGCATGGAGAGCTGGGATAGGTCCAGGGTCAGAGAAGAGTCATCTGAGTCTTCTTCCCTCAGATCCAGATTGGAGAAGCTGGTTGGCTCTATCACATCTGGGGAAGGATGAGGAGAGAGAAAGAGCTACTTAAGGATACTTGAGCCAGATGCCTTCCTGCTTGGCCCTGTGAGGACCTCCCATGCCCTTGCCACAGGGCTAGCCAGGAATGCCATAGTGACTGCCTCTCTCCAAGGTCACTCTTCAGCCCAGGCTTTCCTCTAGGACTCCCCCTGGCTTTTCTTTCAAGCAGAGCAAGGCAGTACAAAGATCAGAGATACTCCAAGAAATGAGATTTCCTGGAGCCATGATTTTATAGACCACATGTTTCTAATGACCTCAAATCAGAGATGAATTTGGAATCAATGAACTTATGGAAAACAATGTTCAACCTCACTAGTGATCAAAGAACCACAGAGTAGAACATCTAGGCTTTTCACCTATAAACTAGAAACAAATATGTTTAAATGTGGATGCCAGTGTCAAGGAATTAGGCAACCCTTGTGCCATGGGGTACTAAAGGAAGCATAAATTTGTGCAAGTAATTTAGAGAGCTATTTGACAGTAGGCATCAGAAGCCTATGATGATGTATATTCTTTGACCAGTAACCCCACTTCCATAAATTCATCATAAGGAAAAAAAATCTGGAATAAGTGCAAATATTTAGCCACAAGCATACTGTTATCTTAATGAAAAGCTGGGACACAATCTAGATTAGATATGTTATTATACATTCACACCCCAGGAATACTAATCAGCCTTTAAGCATATATTCCAGAAGCATACTGATGGCATGAAAATATGATATGATGTACTGTTAAAAGAAAAAAGCGAGTTACCAGATTGTGTATAGCATAATTCCACCTGGAAATATACATATGCATTTAAAGAAAAAAAAGAGATGGGAAAGAGATACATCACAGTGTTAACAGTGATTACCTTTGGGTAGTAGGTTTAAAGATTTTACATATATAAAAATACATATTTATTTTATATATATTATTTAGCTTATATTTTCTTAATGCCCACAGTAAACGTGTATTACCTTTGCTTAATATTTTTAAATTAAAGAGATGCCTGGGTGGCTCAGTCATGATCTCAGGGTCCTGGGATCGAGCCCTGCATCGGGCTCCCTGCTTAGCCAGAAGCCTGCTTCTCCCTCTCCCACTCCCCCTGCTTATGTTCCCTCTCTAGCTGTCTCTCTCTCTTTGTGTCAAATAAATAAATAAAGTCTTTAAAAAATATTTTTAAATTAAAAATGCTAACTAGTTTGAATCTTATTTATTTATTTATTTATTTATTTATTTATTAAATTAAGTAATTTCTATGCCCAACATGGGGCTCGAATTCATGACCCTGAGATCAAGAACTGCATGCTGTGTCAACTGAGCCAGCAGGTGTTCCTTTAAATCAATATATGCTATATTGAACTTAACATTCGTGGGGCTGAGCACCTCATATCAATTAACCTATGAGGGTATCAAAACTATTAAATAATACGGAATTATTAAAAGCTAAATGTGTAACATGCAGACTGATCCTCATCGATGAAAATAAATACCCCACCAATTGGAAAGAGCAACAAAGTAAGGAAAGAAAATTAACACTTGGGGGGCACCTGGGTGGCTCAGTCAGTTAAGCGTCTGCCTTCGGCTCAAGTCATGATCCCAGGGTCCTGGGATCGAGTTCCGCATCGGGCTCCCTGCTGAGCAGGGAGCCTGCTTCTCCCTCTGCCCCTCCCCCCTGCTCATGCTCTTGCTTCCTCTCTCTCTCTCTCTCTCTCAAATGAATAAATTAAAAAAAAATCTTTAAAAAAAAAAAAGAAAACTAACACTTGGGAAGAAACCCTACAAGACGAGGGGCTCAAAGGGTCAATCTCTGCAATGGTCACTGCTTCTCGTTAGTCCCTGACCACCTCCCTCCTGTCACTCCTGGGTGGGTAGACACCATGTCTGGCTCCACTGCCACCCTTGTCCGGCTGACACGGAGACCCCTCCCACCTCTTGGGGATCTGGGCACAGATCCATCAGTAAGTACAGAAGTACCATATCTGAGGGTTCTAGTTCCCCAGAGGGAAGGGGTTTTCCCATCCTGCTGAATCCACGCAGAGGGCAGCAGAGTTGGGTGAGAGGCAGACGGATGAAGGACGGGGGAGGGGGAGGATGGAGCAGGAAGATGAAGAAGAAGGTGGAAAAGGACCATAAGAAGGAAAGCAAGGATGAGCTGGAGGTGACGAGTCCTCCGGTGCTGTGGTGATCCCCCAGAGCTCAGGGTGGGGGGAAAGTAGGCTGCAATGGGACCTACATGTTCTCCCTGCACTCCAAATGTCACCTTCTAGGTTCTCATGACTGTAGTTAATGATACTGTTTTTTTTTTTTAAAGATTTTATTTATTTATTTGAGAGAGAGAATGAGAGAGAGAGAGCATGAGAGCGAAGAGGGTCAGAGGGAGAAGCAGACTCCCTGCCTAGCAGGGAGCCCGATGCGGGACTCGATCCCAGGACTCCAGGATCATGACCTGAGCCGAAGGCAGTCGCTTAACCAACTGAGCCACCCAGGCTCCCCAAGTTAATGATACTGTTTTGTATATTTGAAAGTTGCTAAGAGAGTAGATCTTTTTTTTTTTTTTTAAAGATTTTATTTATTTATTTGACAGAGAGAGATAGTGAGAGCAGGAACACAAGCAGGGGGAGTGGGAGAGGGAGAAGCAGTCTTCCCGCCAAAGCAGGGAGCCCGATGCGGGGCTCGATCCCAGGACCCTGGGATCATGACCTGAGCCGAAGGCAGACGCTTAACGACTGAGCCACCCAGGCGCCCCAAGAGAGTAGATCTTAAAAGCTCTCAGCACAGGGCGCCTGGGTGGCTCAGTCGTTAAGCATCTGCCTTCGGCTCAGGTCGGGCTCCCTGCTCAGCGGGAAGCCTGCTTCTCCCTCTCCCACTCCCCCTGCTTGTGTTCCTGCTCTCGCTGTCTCTGTCTCTGTCAAATAAATAAATAAAATCTTAAAAAAAAAAAAAAGAACTATAGAATTAAAAAAAAAAACAGTTCTCAGCACAACAAAAATAAAAACTTTGTAACTCTGAGACATGATGGATAGTAGCTATGCTTATTGTGGTAATCATTTTGCAATATATACATGTATCAAATTATTATGTTGCATACCTGAAACGAATACAATGTTCTATGTCAATTATATCTCAAAAGAACTGGAAAAAAACAAAAACAGAACCCCCCAAAAGGCCCAGGCTCAAAATACCCTTTAAAGGAACCAGGTTACCCACAGGGAGGAGGAAGGCGGGAGCAGAACCCTGGCATGGAGGAAAGAGCAGGGACTCTGTAGACAGACCCTGCCGTGCCAGCCCCCAGCTTGGCCTCTTGCCCAGCATGAGCCCTTGGGCTAGTAGCGGTCTTCAGTAAAAACAAGGTGGGGGTGCTGTTCTGGGGACACTGTGTGGCACACAGTATGAAAGTGTTACCTTCCCATCCACAGCCAAGGACAGGTGGGCTGTGGAAGCTCTGGGGTCTTCTCCCACTGCTGGGCTCACTGGGGGCATGCGTCGACTCACCTAGAGAGGCTGCGTAGTTATCTGAGCAGGAGGAAGAGGAGTCCCCAGAGAGGCTGGGTGTGTGGAGGGAGGAGGGCCTCGAGGAATGGCTCCCTCCACACCCATCCGCACGAGCTGGAGGCTGGAAGGGAGAGATGGAGTATCAGAAGCTCACATTGGGGGCCACTCTCCTACCTTGTCCCCGATCGCTAACAGACGTGGCTTCAAGGCAGGCCTGCGGGAGGGGGAGGCCTCCCCCACTCCAGAGCAGCCTCCACCCCTGCCCTGGGTCTGGCTGGCCGTGGTCCTCCGTCCCCACTCCCACGCCCCGGCCCCAGCTGCGGCTCTTCACTCCGCAGCTCATCCTTCCCGGCCAGCCAGGGAGCGGACGTACCCGGAACTGGGTGAAGTCGGCATAGGTGGGGTCGTAGGTCTTGTGGTGGGCATCCAGCAGGATGGCAATGATGCGTTGCTGCTCCTCGGACAGCTTGGGCCGCAGGCTGTCCCTCAAGGCTTCCTCCTCCTTCCGCTTCAGGATCATCTCCCGCTTCCGCTGCACCTCCTCATCCGTCAGGATGACTGTGGGGCAGGAAGGGGGGATGTTGGGAGGGCTGGGCCTGCAGCTCCTCTGAGAAACCTTCCTCCAGGTGCTAAAGGCAGAAGATGCAAGGGGCTTACAGGGTGGGGGGAGGCTTACTGCCATGGGGGACTCCGAGCCCACCATATGGATGGAAAACTGGGTTTCTATTGAAAAGGCCGGTGCATGAGACTGGAGGAAAAGGGATCTGAGAGGTGGGATGGTCAGGCCTTATTCGTGAGCCTGGGTTCTCAGGAGCAAGTGATCAGACTCTGGGCAAACTGTTTGAACTCTCTGGGCTTTTGTCATCTCATTAATCAAACAAGCAGTTTGCTCCATTAAAACCTCTTCTAAGGTCCTTTTGTGGTTCCTTCCTCCAGAAAGCGTGTGTATGTGGGGTGGCAGAGCGACAACACCGACCTTGGCGGATGGACTGTTCTGAGAACAGAATGCATGCGTAACACAGAGCAGCTGCGTATGAAATGTCAAGCCCTGTCTTTCTCCCTCACATATTTGTCCATGATCTTGACGGAGACATAGGGTTGGGGGGGGAAGAAGGGCGAGAGTCACTGTGTGGCCAGTCCCAGTGTCGGAAGCTAGGAGATGCTGAAAGACCCCTCTACAGGGGCATTCCCACGTCCAAGTTGCCAGGCATGGAACTTGGGCGTCTGATCTACTCTGACCAACTTAGCAAGACTCTGCGTCTTTGGTTCTCTGCAAAACAACCCCTCCTCCAGCCTGTCCAGTCTTGAAAGTTCTGCCCAGGGAAGTTTCTGAGCCCTCTAGAAGTCCCAAAGATAACACCTCAAAGCCCTCACTTGCAGTTCTCTCCAGCTGCTAGCCCGCATGTCTGACGACGGGGAGACCATAGGCCACCGTCGTCGGGCGGTGTGGGGGCTTCTAGGGTGGCGCCCACCTCACCGTGCTGGGCAGCTGCCCAGGAGGGCAGGGCTGTGAGCAGGGATGCCTGGCACAGCAGCCGGGCAAACAGACCTCCTGGCCGGGGCTTGCCGAGTGCTGACGGCAGGAGTGGGCACTGGGGCCCTTGGCCTGTAGCTACTTGCTCTGTGCTGGTGTTGCCAGCGCTTCTGCCCACAGAACTGGGGAGTTTCACAAGAGCGGGGAAAGCAACCAGAACCCCAGGATAGGTGGGTTCAACGCTTCAAGAGAGGCCCACTGGCCCAGACCCCTCAGGTGGGCAAAGAATGAAAGAAGCTGGCGGGAGGTGGAGGGAGAGCCTATGGGGTGTGGGGGGTTGGGGAGTGGGCAACCAGAGCCTCCGGCATAGCAGGAAGGGAAGCCTGTGGCAAAGGATGGCAAGTTCCCTCCACAGCTGAGGTAGGCCCTACTAAGAGGAGGCCTGGAGGAGGCCACGCCCAGCTGACTGACTCACCTGCCCAGAAAGCTGCCAGCCCTCTCCCACAGTGGGTGTCTGCTCAGACCCCAAGAGGTCAAGTAGGGTAGAAAAGGAAGGAGCAGGGAGCTTTGCATTGAAGGCAGGGTGTGGGGCCCTGGCCTGGGGAATCCAAGATTAGGTGTCTGGTCTTTCCTGCTCCCCTGAGGGTGGATGCAGGAGGTGCGGGGGCTGGAGTTGGGGGCCGAGAGTGGCATGCCACAGGCATCCATGGACATGCTTCTCAGCTTGACTGGGCTTTGATAATCTCTTGTGATTCTATGATGTCACTCTCCTGCTCAGAAACTTTTTCTGGATCCTTCCTGCTTACCATGGTCCAAGTTAAAGTCAAGATTCTCCATGATTTTACTTCTTCCTAACTTTCCATCCTCATTCCACAGTGCCTCTGGACACAGCTTCTGCTCTAGTCACATTGAGGCTGCTGACCTGCGAACATGACCTGCTCAGTCTTGTCACTGCCTTTCCACTTATGCTGGCTGCCTGTCCAACTGGGTCTTCTCTCCCCAACAGCTGGGCAAGTTCTCTCCGTTCTCCAGCACCCAGCCTTCAGCCCTCTTCTACCGTGAAGCCTTTCTGGATTGCCCTGATCTGCACTGAGCTTTCATTTCTTATTTCTGTGGTATGTCTACTGTTTCCCACACATGTTGGCACCCAACTATCTTCCGCTCTGTAATAGTTATGGTTAGTACAGGCTCCAATAAATGCCCATATAGAGAGAACCTAAGATGTTCAAGATCTCTTTCACTAGAATGATAGGTTACCTGTGTTTCCCTCCTAATGGCTAGCCCAGCGAAGCTTCCTGGCCATGGTGTTTGCTCAGTAGTCTGAGAGACTGGACACTTAACACATCCACCCTGATTGTACCTACTGTGTGCTAGTCATTGTCCTCTGTTCAGGAAATGACAGTGAGAAGTGCACCAATACGTGTGTCCTATCATGTCGGGATGGTACACGTCAGATACCAGTCCACTAGATACCTGAGCCCCGCTCACCTTTTCAATTTATTTATTTATTTATTTTAATGATTTTATTTATTTATTTGACAGAGAGAGAGAGACAGCAAGAGAGGGAACACAAGCAGGGGGAGTGGGAGAGGGAGAAGCAGGCTTCCCGCCGAGCAGGGAGCCCGATGTGGGACTCGATCCCAGGACCCTGGGATCATGACCTGAGCCAAAGGCAGACACTTAACGACTGAGCGACCCAGGCGCCCCTCACCTTTTCAATTTAAATAATTGTGATTGAAAGATTTTCAAGACAGAATACCTTGTAACAGAACACCTGCAACATCATGTCACCTTTACTTGATGATTCAGAGGCATCATTCGGAACAATATTGGACTTTGCAGGAGCAAGGTTATGACCTCAGGACCGTACAGGGCTGTGTTCAGGCACTGTATGACTCAGCCTGCTAGGATTTGGAGGTCTTGTGCTAAGTTTCATAGCTTTCAGTCTCCCCCTCTCTGGTAAGCTCCGTGTTGTCTCTTCTTATTGGTGCCTCCCTCTAGAAGGGTGCCTTTCTTCCCCTTAAGAGTTAACTTCTAGTCTGCTGGGGAGCTGGGAATCCTGGTGATCAAGTTTTAGGTAAGAAAAAAAAATCATGTTAATAAAAATGGCTTAAAAATATAGAATCTTTTATGTACCGGGCACTATGCTAAATGCTTCTTAAATATTAACTCACAGATATTTAGTCCTCATAACAACCTCTTAGGGTGGGTGCTATTATCCCCATTTTGCAGATGAGGGACCTGAGGCTATGTACCTAGCTCCAAGTCACACGGCTAACACGTGATGAAGCTGGTACTCAGGCCTGGGCAATATGGTTCTAGAGTTCATGGTTGTAACTACTGCCCCATATCCCCTCTGATTATAATTGGCTATGACTGTTCTGTAGGACCCTTGTCCTCAGTTGTGGAACACACAAAATGTTCCAATCCATCTGAAGAGTATGAAAAAATAAAGTAGCAAAGTTTGTAAATGATTTACTCTAAAAGGACAAAGTTAAGAAGATTCTAGGTTAACCTTATGACATTATTCCTCTCAATCATTGCATCAAATGGTGACTGCCATCTGGTGTGCAGTACTAGAGAAAGAAATGCTGAGATCTGGCATTTTCTCCCCGGGCTGCCAATCCATGGGCCTCCCTCCAGGCAACAGTGTCTGGAGACTGAGTAAGTAATCAGGCTCTCGCATGTGCAGATGCTGTTGTGATTTAGGAAATGAGTCTTTTTTTAAAGGGGGTTACTAATTTCATAGGAAATTTTTTATAAAAATCATTTTCTCAATGAATCACTACTGAAAATGCCATTACTATCATGTAGGAGGACACATGTTTTGGAGTTGAAAGCCATTGACCGAGAAGAAGAGCAAAGAGGTTCTGAAAGAGCATTTGATGGGCTCTCCAATGAATAAGGTGCATGAGCTGTGTCCATGGACCTTTTGAAACCCATATGGCTGCTCAGTAGCTTCTCCGCCTTCCTTCTAGGCTCTTTGCTGAGTGCTAAAATGGCCTTTGCACACATTTATTCCCATGCAAGATGTTCCCTGCTTCATGAAGTCTAGAATTGCATTTGGAAGTCAAGATATGAAAGCATGAACAACTTAAAAACACCTCAAGTTGCCCCTGGTGGCCTAAGGACAACATCAGAGAAGAGAACATAACGTCCTTCCAAATGAATGACACAGGCAATATCAGATTTGGGAGATCTTCCTGATCTATAGACCAGGGGAGATGCAGAGGTACAAAGAAGCATCATGGGGAGCTAATAGTCATTCAACACATATTTATTGAGTACCTATGCTGTGCCAGGTGCTGTGCTAATGCGGGGCAGGAAAGACATACATCCGTAAAAACATTAAACAAATTCACATAGAGGTGTTTTGTGCAGGACAGGTCAACAAGAAGCAAGAATTCAACTGTGGAAGTTCTTGGGCTCCAAGGACACGCTCAAGTCAACTAGGACTTGAAGAGAGAGAAAGGGAGTCTTCAGTGGGAACAGTCTCTTGAGCCCATCCCTTAGGGACCAGATGTGCCTGGAAATGCACAGGGGAAGAGCTCTGGCCCACTGAGGGTGCCTGGCGGGCTGCACCAGGGTAGAGCCCACAGGCCTGGCCTTTGGAAACAAACAGACCCAGGTTAGAATGTCGATACCATACCATCTTATTAGCTCTGCTTCTGCCAGAAGGGAGCCTGTGTTTGCAGGTCCCTTCAGAGGGAGTCTTGGGGTGTCCTGTGGTTTTACAAATGTTGACACAAAATTGCCTCTGGGAGGTTGAGCCTTAAGGCAAAAGCCAACCCACATGATAAATGAGCAGCTCTCCTAGGGTTCAGAGCTGGGAGCTCCAGGCCCAGACCACACTGACAGACTTCTCTCAGCTGGCTGACTTGAGTCTGAGAACTAGAGCCCTTCCTGAAGGACCTCCCCTTGGAGTAGTGGAGAGAACAAGCCTAGTGCTGGCTCCAGGTTTTCATTTAACCAGACTCCAAGAGCTCAGCTCTACCAGTCCACAGCTAACTCACTACAGCTCCCCGCACGGGCATCCTGAGGGTAGGGGACACAGGGCTGCCCTGGGCATATAGCAGGGTGGGGCGCAGGGCTCTGTTAGGGAAGACTGGGGCTGTGTTTTGGGTGACTGAAGCACAAAGCTGTTGGGGTTTGGGGTGGGCATCCACTTCCAGATTGCTGGCTCCCATCGCCACATGGTATTCCTAGGGGCACCCTGATGCACCCAAGACCTGTTTATCACCATGGATGTAGTGCTTTCTTTGGGGACCAGAAGAGGTCTAGAAGCAGACATGGAGACTTGCTTTCTGACTCCAATCCTGATATTTTTACCTTTGTGAGTCTCAGATGATTTCTAAGTGTTCTTCCTATTCTTAGCTGATGGGACATCTCCTTCCTCCTGAGACATAGGAGAGGAGTGTCTGGGACATCAGTGAGGCTGGCCCTGCCCAGGACTTCTAGGGCAGAGTCTTACTGAATCCCAGTGGTGGAACCGTGCTGTTCTTGACTGGCAGAGCCTCAGAGCCAGGCTCCCTGCCCTGTGGAGGATGTGTGCCCCTTGCGGGCAGGAGCAGGGGCTGTATCCACTGCATCTTGTTTGTGTCCAACCTAGTGCCTCACACAGAACTGGCCGCACTAAGCCAGTGTGTGAGAAGCCCCATGAGGCACTCAGCCTTGGCCTCCTCTGCTCCAGGATAAACACGGGAGTTGGGCGGGGCGGGGGACTGCGCTAGGAGGGATCAGCATGTCCAGGCCTGCACACTGCTGTGGGGGCGAGGAGGAACAACAGCCTGGAAACTTCTTCAAGGCCTGCCAGTGTTGATGGGGGAGCTGGGATCAGGAGTGAAGAGCTGTGACCCACCAGAGGGGAGCCTGTCAAGGCCCAAGGAGGAGGCCCACCATGAGGGTCTTCATTCTGTCTCTGTTCCCCAATAACAGAGAATTTTTTTTTCCCCATCAAGGAAGAAATGTTCCATCCCCTAAGCCCTGTCCTGTGACTCTTCCCTTGTTGTGGACACATCTTCCCCATACCTGCCTCCCTCACCCCCAAAACAATAGCCCCATAGCTAGGAGGGCCTCCAGGCGTGCCTGCATCTGAGCACCCCTCCTAAGCCTCCTCAGGTCCGCAGCTTAGCAAGGCATAGGCCCTGTCCCGGGGCCAAGGAGGGGATCAGTGTGCAGACTACAGACAGGAGTGAGCAAGAAGAGGCTGAGCAGGGTTGAAGGTGCCGAGGGTACCTGTGCCCGGGCCTGCCCAGGGTCCTGGTCTCTAGCCGAGGGAGGGCCTGGCTAGCCCCTCCCAGGGTCCCCCAAATTCAATGGCTACTCTGGTTACCAAGTAACTGGTACCAGAGCTCAGATGCAAAGTCCAGGGGTTGTTTTTAACCGAGGGTTAGAACAAGTCAATCTGCCATTGGTCCTCTCCTCCACCCCAAGAGCTGGACAAGAAGTCCTATAGGACCGCTCTTCTCTCTCCATCTGGATCTGGAGGGCCAACCTAGAGTCCAGTGCTTCCCCTCACAGAGTCTCTCCCCCTGGTCTCCCCTGGGCTCTGGCCCACAGATCTGCCCCTGGGGCCAGAGTGGCCCAAAGGCCGGGGCGGGGCAGGACCCGGATGCTCTGAATACTTATTCTCCCCAAAACTCCTGCCCCTCCCCAACTTCAGCAGCCCACTCTCCCAAAGTCCAAACAACCCTGGGGCCTCTGACCCTGTTGTTCTGGCCGCAGGGCCCCAGCTCCAGGCCCCGGGTGTTGGCAGCCCCAGGGGAACGGCATGCAGACCTCTTGGGCCAAACCTGCCTAAAGAGCAGCTCCGACCGCCCCCTTCTAGTGCTACCCCTGCCCTGGCCCCGGACACTCACACTCCTTCATCATGCCGATGTCCACACAGCGCTTGAGCCGGCAGGCCTGGCAGTGGCGGCGGTTGTCCTTGGTGATGCGACAGTCCCCGTTAAAGGGACAGGTGAACAGCGCCTTCCGCTTCATGCTTCGCCTGCCCGGGGAGAGACAGCACACGCCAGCTCCGGGTCACCTGCCTTCCAGCCACAGCCCTGGCTGCCTGCTGGGGCTGTGACCACCGAGACCTGCCCACAAGCCCCCCCCACCCCCCATCTCCTTGTCTCCTACAGAGGGTTTGGGGCCCAGCCCCCGCCACTCCTAGCGACCACCACTCCCCTCCCCCACGCTCTAGGCTCCTCCTCCGTCTTTCACTGCCTACTCTGCTCCCATCATAGCTTTGATTTACTTTTTTTTTTTTTAGTGTTTGAAAGGATTTATTTATTATCACTTTCATTTTTTTAAGTGAGCTCTACACCCAACATGGGGCTTGGATTCATGACCCTGACTGAGATCAAGAGTCACCTGCTCTACCAACTGAGCCAGCCCGGCGCCTCTGATTTACTCTTACGGTACTCTACTTCTCACTCTTTTATTATTATTATTATTATTATTATTATTATTACCCAGGAAATACATGAGTCAATTAGCCTAGAGACATTTTTTAAAATACTAAAATCTGCAGCTCAGCCCTCACTGCCTGTAGTGAGCCATTATGGGAGGTGAGGACGCTGGTGGCAGGTATGTCATCCAGAATCTGGAGATCTATGACTAGAGCATCCCTGGTCCAGGGACAGACATGTGCGCAGGTGCACAAAGGGAGAAGGGGCCCAAACCAAAGCTCGAGGCCTCCAGATCACATGCCCAGAGAGAAAAGGCCGGATGAGTGGGTGGGAGCCCTGAGGTCTGGCCTGGGCTTCTTTGTGTGTGTTTGTGTGTGTGAGTAAAGCGATAGAAGTTTATTAAGTGAAGATACAGAAAAAGCTCTCAAGAGTGAAAGGAGTCCCGACAGGGTGGCAATGAGGGCCTTTAGGGTTGGTCTTTTATAGAAAGCTAACCAGGGAACTTCAATCCTTTTAACATCTCTATTGATAACACCTTCGATGGCTTACTTCCTTTTTAGGGGCTAGTGGTTCTTTGTTGGTCACAGGTGATTATCATAGAGACCCCCACCCTGCACGCGGAAAGGCAGAGGAAGCACGGACTGTGGCGGGACAGAAACCTACTGAAGGTGCTTAGCTGGGAAGCCAGTACCCCTGGGCCCCTGGTATTCTATGTAAAATTATGCGTGTGTGGGGGGGTGCACACACGTGTGTGCCCATGCGTGCATGTGCAAGCTTGAGGGCTCATTTTCCTAATTCTGGCTTTCTGCTGCCAGCCACACCACATGGGACTTTCAGGAGGCTACATCATCTGTGTCCTAGGGGTTCCTCATACTCTTCCCAGCCCCAGTAGGGGCAGGCCCCAGTTTTTTTGCCCAGGGACAGGTGACAGGATTTAGTTGGGGAAAGATGGTGGCAGAATCACTTTCTCTGGGACCAGCAGCATCTTCCAAGGAGATGCTCAAAACTTGTGAGCAAAGGCCCAGGCCCAACCATTTCCCTCTCTCAGAGATGAGCTAGTCACACACTAGTTATGTTTCTTGGTGAAAAATGACTCACTATTCACACTCACTAGAAGACAAATGGGGTTTGGGACAAACATACTCATCAGTTGACATGGTCAGATGCGGACCCATGGAAGAGCGGAGAAGAGAACACAGAAATGGCCTGCCACCAGTCACAGGTAATCAGACTCTAAGATTAGGGGACGACCCAAGAGACAATTGGTGTACCTCCTCATCTTATAGGTGAGACCACTGAGGGGAAGAAACTTATCAGCGAGGGGATTCAGCAAGAAGTGAAGGCTCCCCGGTTGGCTGTTAGAGATGTGAGGCTCGGCTTTTGGCTTCTTGGGTTGAACACACCACTCTCATCCCTAGAAACTCAAGGTGCTCAATGAAGTAGAGCCTAGAGGCAAACAGCTCCAGCAGCTGGCCCTTGAGAACAACTCAAGGCCAAGGATGACTCAGTGGCCCACGAGGTAGCTGCTCTTGGTTTTGGACCCTGGCCCAGTACCCTCCTGTTGCCCCTCTCCTGACCTAAGGGGGCCCCCAGTAGACCGGGCTACATGGGGAGGTGGAACAACGCGAGGCTGTGGGGGTCGAGTCCAGCCCACCAACGGCCACACCCACCCTGTGGTGACTACCCAGAGAGAGATCGTATACCAGGCTTTTGCCTACCTTTATGGAAAGAGAAAACCTTTCTCCTTGAGCCTCCATCCATCTATTGTAGCTCTCCAGAGGGACAGGCAAATATGGAAGTACCTTGGCTACCCCGAAATGAGCTACCATCATCACCACAGGATATGAGATTGATTCACCCCTTTACTCCTTCCCCTCCTTCCCACTCATGGTTCCTGAGGCTCCGCCTGTTACCACAAATGTTCAGGCCCCAGGATGCCTGTAATTCTCTAAAATTACTCAAGGGCCAGAAGTTTCTAATTCAGCGTAAACTCTCATTTCCTTTTTTTTTTTTTTTTACAACCAGGCACTTTGCCCAGGAGCTGAGGGTCTGCTCTATCCTCCCACCCACTGTCTTGTCTGGCTCAGGGCTCTTCCTGTTAATTCTCTAGGGCTTTGGGCACCAAGAGGAGTGTACCTTACGTGCAGCACCTCCCGACACATGAGCCAAAACCTCTCACCAGCCCTGTGCTGGGGGTTGAGAGCATCCTGAGGCCCCAGGTGGGAGGCAGCCCCACATCCCCCAGGGACCTGTCTCTCCTTCCTCGGGCTCTAGTGCACCTGCCTCTGACTCTCGGTGGGGGGCACATCCCCCAGCTGCAAGTTTGCTCAGAAGGCGGCACTTCACCGTCTTTCTTGGATCTTCCTCATTGTAAATCTGAAGCCCACCCCAGGCTTCCACACGCAGGAGTGCTGGAGATGGCTACTCATCCCAGCTTTGCCGGACAACAGAAACGGACTCTAACGAGGCTGGGTAGGAATCCAAAAAAAAAAAAAAATGCAGAGCTGGCTTCAAAGAAAATACTGGGGGGAAGAAAACCCCAGTGTCCTTGCTTCCAGCTTTGTAGTTATAGTAGGAAGCTCATGAATACTGAGAAGCAAAGCAGGAGAAGGAGAAGGAGGGGGAGGAGAAGGAAGAAAGGGAGGGAGGGAGGGAGGAAAGAAGGAAAGGAGAGAAGGAAGAAAGAAAATGTTAAAAGTCCTTCTGGCCAGGCACATTATGGACATTGTTTCACCCATTGCCATACTTTATCCCAAAGAACACCAACTTTGCCACATGTCTCCACATTATTTGAGTGATGCAGAAAGCGGCTTATAAATTTATGGAGCTCTTGAATTATTATTATGAAAAATTATACTAAGCAGCTCTTCCCTGGCTCCTCGAAATACAGAATCAGAGACAATACCCTGGAATTGTAGCCAGGAACATGGAGGTTAGCCATCACGAAGAACTGTCACACTCTGGAGTGTCCATCAGTGTTCAGGGGAGGGAATGCTCCCTCGCCAGCTCCGACAGGCAGACCCAGGTCCCCCCCACCGCCCCCCCCAACCAGTGTGTCCAGCCCAGCATAGTTGCCAGGGCTGCAGGTCCCGCAGGCTCCGGGGCCCAGTTCTTCCCCATTCTCCAGCCTTCTAAGGGCACTCCATACATGCGGTTGCCATCTAGCCTCTGCCAGTGAGCAGGCCGGGCAGCCAGACTGGCCAGCCCTGGTTCTGTGCTTTGTCCCGAAGATCCACGCCCTGCCCTGCCTTCCTCCGCATGCTAATTGCTTGTGAGCGGCTTTGGTTTTGAGAAACAAGAGCTTCGAGTTTCCATGGGAGCCCATTGCCTTAGCTGCTCTCTGAGCCTGGACCCTGTCATCCTCTGGATGGTTGGCAATTATACCCCAGCTCAGGAAGGAGGTGTTGGGGTGGTGCAACCAGGCTAAATATAGACACAGCTTCTAGAAAGTCAGGGGTGAGAGAGGACATTGACCAATTCATCAAAACATGACAGACAAGCTGTTCACAGAAGCATGAAGTGCCTGGGGCCAGGGTCTCAGGCCTGGGACCTTAGGGTCCTTCTCGGGTAGGTGGCCCCATCACCAGAGACCCACCTTGAAAAACCCCAGCCTGATCAGGGAAATCCAAATCAAAACCTCAATGAGATACCACCTCACACCAGTCAGAATGGCTAAAATTAACAAGTCAGGAAACGACAGATGTTGGCGGGGATGCGAAGAAAGGGGAACCCTCCTACACTGTTGGTGGGAATGCAAGCTGGTGCAACCACTCTGGAAAACAGTATGGAGGTTCCTCAAACAGTTGGAAATAGAGCTACCATACGATCCAGCAATTGCACTACTGGGTATTTACCCCAAAGATACAAATGTAGGGATCCGAAGGGGTACGTGCACCCCAATGTTTATAGCAGCAATGTCCACAATAGCCAAACTGTGGAAAGAGCCAAGATGTCCATCGACAGATGAATGGATAAAGAAGATGTGGTATATATACACAATGGAATATTATGCGGCCATCAAAAGGAATGAGATCTTGCCATTTGCAACGACGTGGATGGAACTGGAGGGTGTTATGCTGAGTGAAATAAGTCAATCAGAGAAAGACATGTATCATATGACCTCACTGATATGAGGACTTCTTAATCTCAGGAAACAAACTGAGGGTTGCTGGAGTGATGGGGGTGGGAGGGATGGGGTGGCTGGGTGATAGACACTGGGGAGGGTATGTGCTATGGTGAGCGCTGTGAATTGTGCAAGACTGTTGAATCACAGATCTGTACTTCTGAAACAAATAATGCAGCATATGTTAAAAAAAAAAAAGAAGAAGATAGCAGGAGGGGAAGAATGAAGGGGAATAAGTCGGAGGGGGAGACGAACCATGAGAGACGATGGACTCTGAAAAACAAACTGAGGGTTCTAGAGGGGAGGGTGGTGGGGGGATGGGTTAGCCTGGTGATGGGTCTTAAAGAGGGCACATTCTGCGTGGAGCACTGGGTGTTATGCACAAACAATGAATCATGGAACACTACATCAAAAACTAATGATGTAATGTATGGTGATTAACATAATAATAAAAAAAGAAAAAAAAAAAAG